CTAATTCCTTTTTATAATAAGTAAGTACTAAGATTACCTTAGGGGCCCCTAAGCCTTAGGCTATAACTATTTTAATATAAGATCTTACTTAAGTAAAAAAAGCTTAGGATTTTACTTACTTTATTTAAATATTTATATAATAGTTTTTTATATAATAGTCTAAACTAATTCTTATATTATTAATATATTTATTAAGGCTATTTAAGCCTTTACCTAAGCTTAGGTTTAGAGGTATTTTTACTAAATCTTTTTTATTTTATTTTTATATTTATTTTTAATTAAGAAAAAGAGCTTATTTATTAATTCTTTTTTAGTTTATAATTACTACTAGGTTAACGTTATATTTACCTTAGGCTTATTATAATATATCTTTATTAAAGGGATATATCTAGATATATCTCTAATAGTATTTTTATTATTATAACTACTTTTATTATTATAGCTCTAGGTTATTATTATTTAGAGGTAAATTTAGGTATAATTTAATATTAAATAGGTTTTTTTTTAATTTTATTACTAGTTTAAGTATAATATAGGTATATACTATTTCCTAGTTATAAAGATAAGTGTAAATTATCAAATAACTCTTTAATTAAAAGTTTTAATATATTTAATAAATTTAAAAAGTATATAATAATTATTATATATAAAATTATATTTTTATATATTTAAGTATATAATCTTAAAATTATAAATAAGTTTATTAATAAGTATTAATAAGTTAAAAAACCTAAATTATAAACTATAAAATTATTTTTATATAAATACAAAAGATTTAAAAAAATAAATAAATATTAATAGTTAAATAAAATATAAAACATAAGCTTATAATAATTATAAAATAAAAGTTAAAATATATAGTCAATAATATAATATATATAATAAAACTAAATATAATATTTATATTTATATTATAAATATAAAAACTAATAAAAAAGAAGATTTTATCTAGTTTTAAATCTTTTTTTATATTATAATTAAACTATTAATAATTAAATATTATAAAGTTAAGGTAAATATATAACTTATTTATTTATATAACTTATTTATTAATTATATTAATTATAAAAATTATTATTTAATTATATTTAAGTTTTTTTTAAAAAAATTATTATTTTATATATATATATATATATATTTATCTACTTTAACTTTTAAATATTAATTATTTTAATTTATTTAAAAAGATTTATAAATAATAAATTAAAAACTTTATAAAATTTAA